GACGTCTTGTTCAGAGATTCTTATATATATATATATAAGAATCTGATTGTATGTGAAAATAAATGTTGATTAACAACCAATATTTAATCTTGAAAAGCTAGCAGCTAAGATCCCGTTGGCTACTGCGCTTGCTAAAGTATTACAGGTGAACATGTAAATTGCACGGCCTCTCCACTCCTGGGAGTAAGATCACTGCACACTGTATATAATAGCCCTCTGGATTCTCCTTGTTTCAGGGTATACCTGTCAATCAAATGAAAGCTAGACAGAATACATTTACATAGTTACACTACACTGCAACATCTGAGAGACACTGAAAAAGGATTTCTTTTAAATGTTATAATTTTAACCTAAAACATACATATAAACACAGTGACAGTGAACCATTTCTGTTCAGCTGTAATCACGTTTCATAACATAACTTATTTGACTTCAGTAATAATTTAGCCTACAGATTGGTGGAAGATTAAAAAAAGCATGCTGAACTATGGCTGATGAGATCTTAAAGTGGAGACACCCACCCAGAGGTTATAAACGGCACTGCACTTTGTTGAACACCTGTTTCAATAGAAACAATATGGATAAAGAAAAATACATTTGATTTGATGCTATATGATAGACATATTCAATCAGAAGAAAACTTACAACACCAAATAAACACATCACACTACAGAGCCCAATATGTCCACTCCAAACCAATGATATAGTCCTGTACTTTAGACAGCCTGTGTCTCATGTGGGAGTGGACGACTCCATCATCTACCTGCTGCAACGAGCTCAGTCGCACCTGGATGAACCGGTGGCTATGTGAGAATCACTTTCTTTCAGACCACAGTTTGTTCGACTGGGCCGTGTGCTGTCTGATACGGTGGTCAGTGGTACTGGAGCTCCACAGGGAACTGTTCTGTCTCTCTTCCTGTTCACCTTGTACACCACTGACTTCCAGTAGAACTCAGGGTCATGCCATCTGCAGAAGTTCTCTGATGACTCTGCAGTGGTCGGGTGTATAAGGGACGGACGGGAGGAGTACAGGACAGTAGTGGATGACTTTGTGGAGTGGGCCGGTAGAAATCACCTGCTTCTGGACGTGGCCAAGACCAGAGAGATGGTGGTCGACTTCAGGAGGAAGACGACGGCTCCACAACCGCTGAGAGTTCTGGGAGAGGACGTGGACATGGTGGAGGAGTACAAGTTCCTGGGGGTCTCCATCGACAACAGACTGAACTGGAAGAACAACATCAATGCCGTGTACAAGAAGGGGATGAGTCGACTCTTTTTTTGAGGAAACTTCGATCCTTCAACGTGTGCAGCAAGATGTTGGAGATGTTCTGTCTGTTGTGGCCAGTGCACTGTACTTCGCCGTAGTCTGCTGGGGGAGCAGCATTGGAGCCGGAGACACCAACAGACTTAACAAACTGGTTAATTAAGAAGGCCGGCTCCATCATTGGCTGCCAAATCAATCACACAACTATAACACTGTTACACTGTTGTTGTTGTTGTTGTTGTTGTTGTTGTTGTTGTTGTTGTTGGTTTGTTTGTTTGGTTAAATCTTTGCACTATTCTTTACTTAGTTAATTTTGATATTATTCTATTTCATTGTATATATTGTGCAGTTTCCTTTTTATATTTAATATGTTTTACTCTGTTATTTTTATTGCTTTACCTGTACCATAAAGTACACCGATCCCAGCTGACATTGGGAGAAGGCAGGCCCCCCCCCCCCTCCCACGACCCTGAACAGGATAAGCGGTTGCAGATGATGGATGGATAGATGTACAAAACATATGATTGAGAACTAGATAAAAAGTAATGAGGGAGGGGAAGAGTGCACGAAACGGTTGAGCTCCCAGGAACAATAACACTAAGCCTTTGAATAAAACTTTCTGTTCCCATTAATTCATATTTTGGGAGAATAGCATATTTTATACGTGTGTAATCATCTCCCTCATCTTCAAAATGGCCAACATATTTTGACTAAAGAGCTAAAAATTTAATTGCACATTAAACTTAATGAGTAGTCTGCATTGTGATGCAGATAGACTAACAATGTAAGTTGAGTATATTTGCTATTTATGGTGGGCAGTAAAAGTAACATTATTAAGACACTGACAGGCTTTTTTTCTAAGTGTCGATAACAACATGACTAAACAAACTTCCGTTTAACAGCTTTTGTGTAACTCCTGATTGTGCCAATAGATGGCAACACAGGGTCACCCTGAGATGCTTTGTCAGATCCATAGCGGTATTAGGATACTATCTTTGATTGTTTTATAGTGTATTTTATGGGACTTCTTGCATAAAAAGGACAACCGAAGCCACAGCACAAGAAATAAGGTGACAAAGACAAAAACAATATATGAAATGCTGGTAAAGTGCTGCCAAAGTAAATGTAACAACACAAAGTTCCAATCTCAGAATAACATTAATACCAAGTTTAAATTGAAGTTCAGATACATGACAGCTACAGTCAAAAACCTATTCATAACATTGTCAACATAATCTAATATTGTGCTCAAGAATACGATTGTTGGAATCCTGTTAAATTAAACCTGAATTGTCTCCTCAACCCTTGAAATGGGACTATAGTTAAACTTTAGGTATGAATGTTTGCAGCGTTTAATTCATCCAGAGACTATTCTATGACAAAATTATTCTTAATAGGTTTTTTTCCAGCTATTTTTCATCAAGGCAAAACAAAAGAACAGATTGTTTTTTGGGGCAGCTGATTGGGGGAAGGGTATCTGCTGTCTCATCAAAAAGCTAGACCCCTAAAGTGAAGATATGGGAATGTAACTCTACAGGCACGAGGACCCAGCATTCTGTGGCTGGGCTGCTCAGCCTGCAGGTTGTGTGTGGGGATATCTGTCCAAACAGGAGGACATTCTTGTGAGAAAGAAGCTAACATGGAGCTACACCGGTTGGCAGTTTGTGCACTGATTTTAACACTCAATGCATTTGTGCACCATGACATAGTTTTTGCTGCAGAAGCTGGTGGTAATGCAACAGGTACGTTTGTTTTGTTTAATGTATAATCTGCAAGTTCATTATTTACTTCTGAAAAAAAAAGTGCATGTTTGTGTGTTTCATTCCACAACCATGTTTGGCAACTAGACGCCTTCATTCATGCTATCCAGCTGATCTGTCCCCTCTGACCCTATCTCCTCTTCTGCTTCACTGCCTCTTTCTCTCAGCGATTCTTCTAAAACCAGGCTACTGCCCACGTCTCCTTAATGTCGTCCCATCACATAAGGGGTGTGTGTGTGATGAAGACTGTCCTGCTGACCACAAATGCTGTGTCTTTGACTGTGGAGCTGTCTGTGTCCCTCCTGCTTTCAGTACGAGCCACAATGTTGAACTTTCTCTAAAGTGGGCAGCTGTTAAACCTTTGGTTGAATCTTCCCAGTGACTGAACTGACTCAAGTCAAAGGAATCGAGCATGGACAGTATTTCAGATTTCTGTTATGTATTAATTTCTCTTTTCCCTTCAGCCAAGCCAGGAGTGTGTCCTCGCAGGAGCTGGGGCTCAGGACTGTGTGCTGAATATTGTTCCAATGACAATGACTGCCCCAATGATGAGAAGTGCTGCCACAATGGATGTGGACATGAGTGCATTCAACCATACACAGGTTGGATATGATCAACAGTGGCAAAATACTCCTCCTGTGGTGTTTGTTTGATTAAATATATTTTTTTGTCTTTGTCAGTGAAGCCGGGTCGCTGCGCCCTTCCCCAGGGAACCCACATGTGTGCCGAGTTCTGCTATCATGACGGGCAGTGTCCAGGAGAGCAGAAGTGCTGCAAGACAACTTGTGGCCACGCCTGCAGTGAGCCCTGCTGATTGGACAGCACAGCAACTAGGCTACAACTACAGAAATGGATCATGTTCACTTTTTTTTTTACAATTTTCAACCCTATGGTAGCACACTTTGGTGCAGTATTTGAGCAGTGGTTTGCACAAAGTTGGATTATTTCAGGGAGAAAGTAAATTATTCTCCTTTTAATATTGTTAAGATGCCAATTTATGTGCCTGTACTTTAAGTACGTACACAAATTAAATAGTGTTCTACTCTAAATTTGGAAGAGCAAGAACTAAAGAATAACCTGCAGGAGGGAAATAATTGCTAGTGTACCTTCATAGTCTTTAAAAGACCTACAGTATGTTTGTTTTTCTTGATTAGTTTACAACTGGATTGATCTTATTCTGATGCCAGTAACACTTTGGTCAGTATTTCTGTCGGAGTATTGATATTGTATCGTCTAGTATATTCTAAATGGAGGAAAATATACTGTACTTGTATATCGGTTGCTTGTAGGTATGGAGCAATTTGTATTTTACCCAATAAACATGTTTCCAGAACCTAGAAATGTCTTTATGTATTCATCGCCTTGCAGATTATAAGTCTTGAATTTTACAGGTCGCTTTTATGGACTTTTTAGGCGAGAGCTTGGCTAAAAAAACAAGAAATGAAATATGCCAAGAATGGAAAATTCTTACTGGCAGAAAACAAGACTATTTAAAGAGGTGGCCAAGAACGTCTGCTGCTCGAAGATTTCAAGACAGTTGCACCACAACCTCACAAATCTTCAAATGCAGTTTAAATTGAATTTTTACATAAAACATCCTAATTGATGTACTTGTCTAGCAAATCAAACGTATGTGCTAAATAAAGTGAAGGCTGAGAGCTGACGGGCCACTCATCATTGACGATATGCATCCTATGTTCTCTGGCTGTGTTTATCTTGCTCAGTGAGGGAACGCAGTTCGCAGTTGACGAGATATGAAGGAATATGTGGAATGCTGCTTTTTCTTTTTCTGTTGTTTTTGTTGCCAGACGTGCATGGGTGAGATTCGCTGACCGGCCAAACACAGACGTGTTTGTTTCCTCCGAGTCTGCCAGAAGTGGGGCCAAGTTTGTTTTCACAAAAATGTGGGCACTCAGTGGGAAGTAATACAGCTCCAGCTCAGTTTAGAGCGAAGTAACTTCTTGCACAGCTATAAATTTGAACAAAATGACAGAAAGATGTTTGAGTTTATTTTAAAGACAATAAAGAACACTAGTTATGCCCCACACACACACACACACACACACACACACACACACACACACACACAC